CAGGCAGTGCAATATGCTGCAGGATAGAGACCCTTGTCTTCATCTGGAGGAAGGCTGACCCTGGCGGCAGTGGGTCTCCTTCAGCCTGCTTCCATTTGGGCTGTGGTCATTTCTATAAATCACAGGACTCCGGCCCAGCAGCACTGGCATTGCCCAGGAGCTTCTTCGAAATGCAAATCTAGGGTCAGAGATTCAGCTTGATGGTGCCGCTGCCTCCCTCTCAAGTGCAAGGTCTCAAGTTCCATCCCCGGTACCAGGAAAAAAAAAAAAAAAAGGGCAAATCTAGGGCCTGGGATTTAAGCATCCCAAGTTTGATCCCTTCATCCTAGTACTAGTGAATCTGATGCTGCAAGTGGGCTGGGTGACTGATGGCCAGGAGGCTTAATAGGCCTTTTGGTGACTTGTTATACCTAAAGTCAGAGACCCACCATCCTGAATCAAGTCCCGAGTTTTTTATTCCCCACTGTTCTGAAGGGTACACAAAGTTGTTTGTGCACCAAAAAGTTCTCAATATTTATTTTATTTTATACAGTGTATTACATCTATGTACTTTTTTTTTTCTTGGTACTGGAGATCGAACTCAGGACCTTGCACTTGCAAGGTCCTATGTACTATTATTTAAAATAAAATCCCTGGCCCTATGTACTATTATTTAAAAACATCTAGAAAAGAAAAGTTACAAGGATAAGACCAAGATGAAATGAACAATATTTTTCATTGTCTTGTTACTCTCTGACAGCACAGAATGCACCTTGGACAACATTAAACGTGAGTGATTATGAGTGTGTCCACCTAAATAACAAAACAGATTGTTCAAAGAATACTTATTATATTTGGTCATAGCATAACGTTACATCGGGAATATACATGCCCTTGTAAAAGGCAGGCATATTCAAAGCGGTTAAGGCAAGGGGAAAATTTTAAAGCAAATGTGAGGAAAAGTACACCAGACACCTTGAGACAATAATCCCTTGGCCACAGTGATTAATAATTAGAGTGGCATTTTTTTTTTTTTTGGTACCAGAGATCGTACTCAGGACTTTCTACTTGCAAACAAGCTGGTAGCACCACTGAGCTAAAGCCCCAGCCCAGATTGTCCTTTTTCTTTAGTACCAGGGATGGAACTCAGGACCTTATGCTTGCGAACCTCTGAGCTAAATCCCCAGTCCCTCTTCAGCATTGTTTTAAAGCCATTTGTCCTTTTTGCAAAAGTAAGTTTACTTAAAAGTAGAAAATAGATTATCTAGATCCTCTTCATGAGTACGTGTAAGATTCAGTTTGCTGACCCCTCCACCTGCCACACACACAGTGCCCTCCTCCTACATGACAGTCTAGGCCTCCAGAGTCCACCCGCATGAATGAATGGCACTGCAGAACTTTCTCTTTATCTCTTCTAGAAGTGAAATACTGGGCTAAATGGATGGACTTTTATCTCCTTTTCTTGGCCCCATGGGCCATCTTATACTCCCCCTGGGATGCATGGCCCCCATTTTAGAGACCCCTTCTCCCTACTAAGTACAATACTCCTCTTCTTTCTCTAAGGCTTTATAGAAGCTCTTGATGATACCTTAAATCAAGAGGATCTGCTCATAGCTATAAAGTCCATATAAGAAAGGCTCAATCCAGGGGGTCTCACTCAGGAGACCACCTGTTCCCCTCCCCTCTATGACTAGTTCTTCACCTGAGAGGTTAAAGCCCAAGAGTGTGGAGTGTCACCTGAGGGCAGCACGGCAGACACAACTACTGGGCAGCTTACAGCAGGCCACACTAGGCCCTGACCCTGCACCCCACCCACCAGCCTGACCCACTGTGGACACAGTCCTTCAGGACAAAAGCAGGGGAAGTAGGAGGGAGGGGCTACTGCCTCACCAGCTTCTTGTGGCATTTCTGAAATCTCATTTCCTCTCATAATTCTAAAGCAGGTGCATCTGTTTTTGAGTATATCTCTTCACTTGCTATTCTGATTGTGTGAGTCACAAGTTTTTTCCAAGGACTGACCTCCTATTTTTCCTCTGGTGGAGGCACTGAGGGCAGCCAGTCCCTCAGCCAGAATCAGCTGAGTAGCAGAAGCACCACATCATCCAGCCCTCAGCAGACGCAAGGGGAACACTCCACAGACCCAAGCTGGGTAAGCCCCAGTGGCACAGGGAGTAGTCCCTGGAGAAGTTACCCAGTGCTTTGTATTTTGGCTCCAATCTTGCAACGAAGTATGTGCCTAGCCCCACCCAGGAGAAGCAAAACAAAAACAGGCCAGCCCTCACTCCTTCTTGGGGGACCTCAGCTCCTTAGGGCATTGGGTGTGGCTGGTAACAAACCCAAAGAAAGAAAATAGCTTTATGAAAAACTAAAGCTCAAATCCAGGTGCCTGCATCTACAAGCACTCTGAAAACCAAACGGATACAATTAGGCCCAAGGCCTCTGTGAGAATTTCAATTTTCATTTGCATGAAAATCTTTAAAATTCATATAAACATATTCCACATCCTAGAAAGATCATTCCCCAACTGTTTAGAGATTTCAGCACTGATATTAAAAAACTGAATAGAGCTGGGTGTGGCGCTTCATGCCTATAGTACCAGCTACTCAGGAGGGCTATAGCAAGACCCCATCCTCTTAAAAGAAATAGAGGGGAAGGAAGGAAGGAAGGGAGGGAGGACAGATGGAGGGAGGGAGGCAAGCATTTCACTCATAAATGTTATGCTGGTGCTCTGTCCAAGTGAAATGTGGCCATGCTTCTATTGTAGGAAAAGCATGGAAAAAACATATCATCCTATATCACCCCAGGGAGGTGCCACTGAGCACACAGTCTCCTCAGCATTTGAGGTCAGAAAACACTGGTCACATTAAAGTAAGTGCTCACTTGCATGTGGGGTTGGGGTTGTAGAAACTTTGCTATTTCATTTATACAATGATTTTGATTTTACAGATAACTTCCTTTGGTTTTTTTGTTTTGTTTTTTGTTTGGAATTTTTGAGGGGTTTGGTTTGTTTTAGGGAACAAGGGAGTTGCAGTGCTAAGGATTGATCCAGGTCCTTTGTACTGAGCTACATTCCCAGACCCCACCTCTTTTTTTTTTACTTTATTTTGAGACAAGGTCTAACTGAGTTGTCCAGGCTGGCCTGAAACTTATGATCCTTCTCCTTCAGCTTGCCACAGTGCTGGGACAACAAGCTGGTGCCACCACACAGGGCTGAATTTGACTTTCAAGTTAAACCAGAACTATTGAAGCATACACAGTTTAAATAATTTTATGTTAATTTATGTATAACTTAAATGTATATGTTCAAGAAATATGATAAGCAAAATAATTTAAATCCATCTTCAAGGATCGTAAGACTCTTAATTTCCTTCATTGAAAGAGGTTTGTACATGACTCAGATTTAAATCTCACTACTCTCGCCTTTAAATCAGGTAGCCAAGCACTGTCAACAGCAAAGGTGAACGCTGAAAGAATTTAGAGAAGTCTTCTAAGGCTGAGGTCCAGCAGAGAGAGGGACACCAGGGAGGTGTTTCATCACGTAGCTATTTACTAGGAGCTGAGACTAAACCGGCATGGAGGAGGAGGAAAAGGACAAAGGCCATAGCTGGGGAAGAAACAGCCAGCCTACTTGCCCAGGCTACAGGAGGGGCTGCTTACTACTGTTCCAGTGTCATCATCTGCACCTGAAATGTTCGCTTCTGGCATTTTGTGGGCAATAAATACAAAGTGAATGCTGCTGACTAATGAACAAGCTAAGATACTCTTTGAATGGGCACACACACACACACACACACACACACACACACACAGGTTTCCCCAGGGAACTGTTGCAGACACCTCAGAGACACAGCAGGCAGGTGAGCTCATCACCCCTAGGAGGGAAGAAGTGGCTTCCTATCTGGATTTTACTGTGCCATGGCCTTGGCTCAGGTGGGTGTGAAGTTCCCCACTCCTTGACCTCCCTTGACAGTGGACTAGAGGATCACAGGGTTAGATCTGGCCAGGAAGGCAAGGGTCACAGCTTTGTCTGGGTCGCTCCTCACTCTTTGCAGGAACCACAGTGCCAGTAGGAGCAGAGCAAGAAATGCAGGAGGGCAAGAAGTTTAGAGTCAGAAATGGTAAGGTTCCTGCAAGTCGACAGCAAGCTCATGATGCAGCAAGGACTGCAGGAACCTAACAGAGGAGCAAGTCCAGTGAATAGTCATGTGGCACCTTCACCATTGAGCTAGGAGGTCAGCTGCCAGGTCCCGTTAGACAGAAACCTCAGAGATCTGGGCTCCCTGCCTTCTAAGACAGGAACCTGCTAGAATCTCATGTGGAAGATGACGGTTAATGAATGAAGACAAAATAAGCAACCAACCAAGACACACTTACAAGTAAACAGAAACAAATGAAGCACTGGGGAGTCGCTTCCCAAAGCTTCAGCTTCCTGCCAACTCAAGTATTTGACCCCACCCCAAACACGTACCCAGGCAACCATAATAAAGGACCACAGATGGGGGGGTACCACATAATAAAGTACCACAGTTCTTGAAGCTGAAAGTCCAAATCAAATTATCAACCATTTTGGTTTCTCCTGAGGCCTCTCCTTGGCCTACAAATGACCACCTTCTCACTATGTCTTCACTTGGCCTTTTCTCTGTGCACAAGCATCCTTGGTGTCTCATCCTCTTCTTATAAACATATGGGTCCAGCAGGATTAGGGCCAAATCTTTATGAATTCATTTAACCTTAATCATATCTTCAAAGGCCTTATTTCTAAATACAGTCACATTCTGAGGTATTAGGACTTCAATATATGAATTTGGAGGGGACATAATTTAACAGTGGCCCTGAGTAAGGTATGGGAGTACCAGGTCCAGCTGCATCCCTGCATGGAGGTCAGGCTGCAGCCCTACCTGCAATAGTAGCTTCGCTCACATTTATGGGAAGACCATGCAGTAGCCGCAGGAATGACCAAACCTCTCACCTTTCCTCAGCCCCTGGTAAAGATGGACTGAATTTGACCTCCCACCCTGGGTCCTGTCTAAAGGCTGTTGAACCACCACTGAGACGTCACCACATCTATCTTGGTGAAGGTGGAACAGAGAATTCTTTCTCATTGACTCATAGGATCTAGGTGAGCCTCAATGGCCCTGGGCATTGGCCACCGATGCAAAATCTGCTCAGCATGGCACAGGCCACCTCAGGTACTCTTCTGGATTCTGGTTACTCAGACGACAATGGAGGATGTGCCACTCCCAGGCCTGGCTAACAACACACCTGATCCCTGGTGCAATGTCACAAGTTGGGTCCATGAGTCACTTTCCCCAGACACTACAGACACCAAAGAGCTGTGGGACTCAGACTGTGCTAGCAGCAGCACTCCAGGCCTGCTCCAAGAATCTTCACCAATACAGTGTAGTTAAGAGTACTGATTTCCATTGCCATTAATGACAAGACAATTGTTCCACCAAGGACAGCCAGAAATACTGGACCAAATATAACAATTATTGGAGGTTTCAGAGAGTAAACATGAGAGTGAAAACTTAGATCTGACCAAGATCTCCAGAGAGCAAATGGGTGCAGGAGTATTTCCTAAGTATACACAGAGCAGATGAGAGACTAAGTTCAGCTGCCAAAAGCTTCCTAAGCGCTGAGCAGGGCCTCATTACAACAATAGTGTATACATCAGAGTAGAATAAATGGAATTGACTTTTTTTTGAGGTACTCGTCTGAGAAGAGGTAAAAGTATTCATTTCCTCTAGGATTTGATAATTCCAATATTTTGTGATAGATCTAAGTAGTTTGACTTCTAAAACTTGTATTTCTAAATAATAAAAACAACAACTACCAAGTTAAACAAGGAGAAAATCAAATAATTCAAAAGGTTTTGTGCCAGGGATGGTGGCACATGCATGTAATACCAGCTACTTTGGTGGCTGAGGCAGGAGGATTGTAAGTTCAAGGTCCCCTGTAAGCAACACAGTCAGACATCATTTCTTTAAAAAGTTAAAAAAAAAAAAACTAAGGAAAGAAAAAATAAAAGGGAACACAGATTAATTGGAACAAAGAGAAAGCAAATAATGACAAGAAATTTAAATTTAAGTGGATCAATTATTACATTAGATGTAAGTGGACAAAATGCTCCAGTTAAAATATAGAAAGATTGACTTGATAAAAAACCAAACTTAATTATAAGCTGCTTACAAAATAAAAATTTTTAGCAATTCAGAGAGGTAAAAGTTAAAATATGAGAAAGACATAACAATCAAAAACCTAAAGGAGGGGCTGGGGATTTAGCTCAGTGGTTCTGTCACCTCACTCACAAGCTCAAAGACCCGAATTTGATCCCTGGTACCAAAAAATGAAAGAAAAATAAAAAACCTAAAGGAAGCTGGAAGAGATATATTAATATCAGAAAAGTAGACAAAGACAAGAAGCATTACTACAGATAAATAGGCATTTTATAATAAAAAAGGTTTTATTCACTAGAAAGATCTAACAAATCTAAATTTGTATATACATAATAGCCTCAAAGTAAGGAAAATAAAAATTGAGAAATAAAATAAAAAATAGATAAATCCTTGACAGTGACTAGATAGTTCCACATTTTTCCCAGGAATCTTGGGGAAGACAAACAAAAACTGATAGAAATTAAAGTGGTATATGGTTTAACTGAATAAATTAACCCAGATAACTAGCACTGACACAAATTTTACTAAAATGTTGGATTTAAAAACAAAGCAGAAAAATCTTTTGAACATCCAGCCAGTCACTTCCAAAAAAAAAAAAAAAAAAAAAAAAAAAAAAGTAATTTAGAAGGGAAAACAAGTTTGACTACCAAAAAAAAAAAACCATTTTGATAGCAATGTTTTATGTCAGGAGAAGAAAACAAGCAAAAATATTTTCAGTACTCAGGGAGAAAAAAATGAAAGCCAAGAATTTTTTTCACTAGCCAAACTGGCTTTTAAATATAAACAATGCAGAAATATTGTGTCTAAAACATAGGAAAATCCAGGGAATATTAAATCCATATCCCTTTCTTAGTAAATTACTAGAGCCTGAAGTTTTGATGGTTGTGGAGGCAGAGGTGTGTGTAAGATGAAGGCTGCTTGAAGGATATAAAAGAGATGGCTTAGTATATGTGCTGCCAAAGTAAGCACTAAAAGATACAGTTCCATATGTATGAATTTTTTGTTCCATCAAAGAGGAAGAGCAAGACAAAGAAGCAGTAGAATGGGGTAAGGACACACACACAAAAGAATCTGCTTAGCTCTTTTCAGTAACCAAAATTTGGGCCTTACTGTGTCATTTTCCACTAAGAGATCAGTGCTTCAAGGAGAGATGTCTAGGATAATAATTCCACTAGATGAACCTGGACTATCTTGTTATAGCAGATGGAAAAGGAGCTGTCAAAGACATGGGAGCTACTTGCAGCGCACCTAGCCAGATATGGGACAATTTGAAAACCAAGGAACATAAATCCACTTCTTCAATATGACACAAAATTAAAATGATAATTGACCATCCTTGAAGACTGCTGAGAAACCAATTTTTATTTTGATAACAGGTAAGGGGAAAGAAAATGAAGTACTTATCCAGCTTTTTTTATTGAACTAGTTAGGCTAAGTAGTAGGGTTGGGAGAATAGCTCAGTAGCAGAGTTCATGCCTAGGATGTTCTGGGTTCTATTGAAAAAAAAAGTGCTGAAAGTGAAATTTCTATCTAGAAGCATTCCAACAGATGTAAAGAACAAATAATAGAACTGTAATATCACTGTTTCACAATCCTGAATGAATCAATGCACCTCGCAGTGGAACACCAATAACTTCCAAGTCTCATAAAGAGAAAATTCCAACAACTATTTGTGAAGTAAACATTTATAAAGAGTAATGCCAAAAAACAACAATAAAACCGACCTGATTCCAATTAAACTTGTAGCTCCAATTAGCAGTTTACAGGAAATACAAATGTAATGAGAAAAATCTAGAATGTAAGAAACTTATACAGGACCAAGTTTTATAAAAAACAAATAGGGAGGGGGGAGAGAGACTGGACAAATTATCAAAAGAATTGGGCAAAAAAGAGTCAAGAGTTTAGGTATTTATACTTGGATGAAAAAAATTATAAAATAAACGTAATCACCATAAAAGCCAAGATTTCATTATCAGATTCTATTTGGGCAGGTTGGTAGCTGCAAAAATGTTCACCTTATAAAAATTAATTAGGCTGTATGTTGTTAATGTGATTTTTTGAAGGTTGTTATATTTTATTTATTTATTTTTTTTGGTACTGGAGATCGAACTCAGGTGCTCATGCTTTTGAGGCAGGTGGCAGAACCACTGAGCTAAATCCCCAGCCCTTGAAGGTTGTTATATTTAAAACTAAAAAGTCTCTCACCAATACTGAGGACTGAACCAAGACTTCACACATCAAGCAAGAGCTCCGCCACCATACCATATCCCAACCCCTTGTATTTTTTCATTCTGAGACCAAGTCTTGCTGAGTTGCCCAGGCTGGGTTCAAACTCATGGTCCTTTGCCTCAGCCTTCTGAGTAGCTAGAATTATAGGCAAATATCCCCACACCCACCTAAAAATTTTAAAAAGCTTTTTAAAACTCAAAGTTTTAATATGATTACTGAATTTGACCTGATCTTTACATAAAAACACTACACTAAACAACTACAGAATATACATTTGTTTTAAGGGCACATAAACCATTTACAAAAATTTATTATATTTGGGGTCATAGAGTAAGTTGCAACATATTTCAAAAAATTAAAATCAGAATGTATTCTGTGGCTACAGTAATA